AGAACACAGTCTGCAGTATGGATTACATCTCAATATAAAGAAAACAAAAATCCTCACAACTGGACCAATGAGCAGCATCACGACAAATGGAGAAAAGATTGAGGTTGTCCAAGAATTCACGTTGCTTGGTTCTACAGTCGACGCCAGTGGAAGCAGCAGTCAGGACAGCAGGCGACGTGTAGCACTGGGCAGGTCGGCTGCGAAGGAACTCTTTCAAGTGCTGAGGAGCAAGGATGTCTCTTTGAGGACTAAGGTGCGCCTGACACAGGCCATGATACTCCCAATCACTTGTGTGCATGTGAGAGCTGTACAATGAATAAAGAAGAGCAAAGAAGAGTTGATGCTTTTGATTTGTGGTGCTGGCGAAGAATGCTGAAAGCACCATGGACTGCTCAAAGGACTAACATCTGCCCTGGAGGAAGTACAGCCAGAGTGCTCCTTGGAGGCAAGAATGGCCAGGCTTCATCTCACCTGCTTTGATCGTGTTGTCAGAAGGGACCATTCCGTGGAGAAGGATCTCATCCTTGGTAAGGTGGAGGGTCGACGAAAGAGGGGAAGGCCTTCGAGGAGATGGATTGACACGGTGGCTGCGACCATGGGCTCAAGTATTACAAGGATCACGGAGCTGGAGCGGGATCGTGCGGTGTTTCATTCTGCTATGCACGGGGTCGCTATGATTCGGAAACGACTCGATGGCACCTAACAACAACAACAGCACTGCCGTCGAGTTGAATCAACTCATAGCAACCCCTTCTTGGGTTTCCGAGGAAGTATCTCGACAGAAGTAAATTGTCCACCCTTCCTTCCGAGGAGTGGCTGGTGGGCTTGAACCACCAGCCTTCTGGTTAGCAGTCAAATGCCTTAGGCACTACACTGTAGTTTTGCAAAAACATGAAATTAATACTGATTTGTATTTTTCAAAGTGAAGAAAATTATCACCATGAACATATACTTCCTTTAAACAGTTTAAATGATATAGAAAGTTAAAAAGATGGAAGCCCTCCTACTCCTGCTCCCTAACCCACGTCAGTGTTTCTGGGCCCTTTGTCAAGCTCTGTCCCCCATCCGTGCTTCTGAGTGTCCTTGCCACTGAGCAGTGTACTGTGTTCTCTGCCTCTGATGTTCCTTTCTTGGGTGTATTTCCTTCTCTGCTTGCTCTTGCTTACAGAGCCAGCTTCCTCCCAGTTGTGCTACTTCATTGGTGGAGGGCTTGGCCATACTGGGGGTCACCCCACCAGAGTCAAAGGACAGGGCCCGGTGCCCCTTCCGCCCCAGAGGCCCGAAAGAACTTGAGTCCATGGGCCCTAGGACACTGGCTGTTGCAAGGTCCCAGGCAGAGGAGCCCGGGCAGGGCCAGGAGTCAGGCTGGATGTGACCCTGCACTCGCCTCCTGCACAGGTCGCCAGACAGGAGGGGAGGATTATCCTGACGTCCGGGCTACCATATCACAAGGTGAGGACCACAGACCCACTGCCTTCCCAGGTCAGTGCCTTCTGGAGTCCATACCCCGGGGCCCTGAGCACAGGGACAGTAGGGCACTGGGGAGGCCAGTATGGGTCTGGGTCTGCACCCCTGCCCTGCTCAGTACTGTCTCCTCCCTGCAGCTCCGGGCCCAGGTCGGCGCTGGGCGTTGCCTGTCTGTGGACTGCGCCCTCAAGGCCCGGGAACAGGCACTCAATGTGCTCAGGCACTTCAACGTGCGTGTCACCTTCGCTGACGTCTTCAGCCGCTGCCAGGTGGGTCCCTCGGCAGATGGAAAGCCGCCTCCACAGCTAGGCTCTGAGCGTGCATGAGGGTGGTGGGGCAGCACCTGCCTCCGACCTGTGCTGCTCTCTCCAGGCAGGGCGCCGCCCGCCTTCAGGCCTCCCTCCTCCCTCAGACTTGCACGCATAGGATATCTGAGGTCTGGGGTTGGCAACCGAGTGTCTGTGACTGCTCCTGCGCACATTCAACTTGCCACAGCCTCAGCTACTTCCAGAAGGACCACTGGCGACCTCATCCCGTGGGCCCCTGGCAGCAGAGTGGTGGATAGCTCTGACCGGGCCTTGGTATAAAGCTGGGCATTGACTCCCACAGATGGGTGCAGGGGCTGCATCCAGGGTGGTGCCTGGATTCAGGTGCTGCAGGGCTCACTTCCGTCTGGGCAGGGCCACTCTCCGAGAGCGATGTCCAGGGCGCTGATGGACGGACCCTAGGTGCACTCTGTGTTCCCCAGAAAGTCCCGGGTGAGGAGATCCCCGAGAGGCAGCGAGTTCCCTGGGTCAGACACCCGGGCTCTGGGTTGTTCAGCCAGAGGTGGAGGAGAACCTCCTCCCCCCACTTCCCTGCCCAGGGACCTTACTCCAGAGAAGGGCGCCCTCCTGGCCTCTCACCTCAGCAGCCGCCACGTGGTCCTGCCCGAGGCCGTCTTGGCCAGCTGGGGAGGCCGCTGGTCTAGCTCAGCAGCTTTCACAACCGTGGTGATGCGTCTTTGTGCTGGCCCTGCCCAGCCTGGGGGAGTGCACCTGGGGCTGTGCTGAGCCCCCAGGGCCTGTGGGTCACCTGCCCCTGTAGGTCTCCTGACACCCCGCCCCCTGCCTGAGGGTCTCCTGAGCCCCCCGGGCCTATGGAACCTCCCGGAGTGGGCACCTGGGTCGCTCCTCCTGTATGTGCATTTGAGGGCACCTCCCAGGGGCTGTTGCTGCAGAGGTGAGTAACAGAGCGGGGCTCCAACCCTTGGCTGCCTCTCACAGCTCCGCCGACCACCTTCCCGCCTGTAGAGTTTGGGAAGGAAGGAAGGAAGGAAGGCAGCCCCTGGCCTGAAACCTGGAGGCACACCTGAACCCTTTGCTCCCTTCCCCCACCCCAGCAGGGCAGGGACCATGGTGCGGCACCCGTGGGGCCGGGGGTCTAGGGGCGCCTTCCTTGAGTGGCACTTGGGGCAACAGGAACCGTGCCCACTGCTCTCTTTGTCTGCACCCGGCCAGTGAGAGTCTGCAGAGCCCAGAGTGTCCCGGAAGCTGGGAGACGTATGAATGAACTTTCCAGAACCTTAGCCGGGAGCTTTCTGGAGAAAACAGGAAGCGGATTGTTGAAGGAAACCCCTCCTGGCCTGGGAAGCATGCTGGGTTATGGCTGGGCCGCACGAGCTCGAGGGCCCTCAGACCCCGTGGCTGAGGGTGGCACTTGGCCAAGGCGCCAGTGTGGAGGGACCACTGGTGGTGGGCGTGGAAACCCCTTCCAGGTGGCCTCGTCAGCGTGCCGTCTGGATGGGCTAGCGGCTTTACTCGTGGGATCCTGAGCTGCCCCATGGCTCTACCCTGCCACGTTCTTGGGGTCCCAAACCCTGTCCCCAGTAGCACAATGTTTTGGCTACTCAGTGCCGATCTAACAGAAAATACCACAGATGGGTGACTGTAACTGACAGGAGTTTATTCTCTGACAGTTTTGGAGGCTAGAAGTCTGTGTTTACAGTGACAGCTCTAGGGGCTGTGTGAAGGCCCCTCGACCTTGGGCTTCTGCTCTGCCTCTTGCTCCCAGCCCACTGAAGCTGGAAGCTTCTCTTAACTCAGATAATGCTGGCTGCGGAGGCTGACAAGCCTAAGGTCGACAGGTAAAATGGCACAGTCCCAGTCATACCAAACCACGTGGCAGGTCTCTAGGTCAAGTCCAGACATGATCCCAAGATTGGCAGACAACATGGCAGGCTGCTGAATAACAACCCGGCTACATGTAGGATTCGAGTGTGCCAAAAACTACAGACCGTTCCTAAAGCCTCTCCTATATACTGGGAGCAGACCACGTCCCGGAGGTATTCCCTCAGCTGCTCCAGAGGATCCCACCCTGGAGTTGATGACCGGTCTCACCACGGGGAATCACTATGTCCAGCTGCCCAGCCACTGAACCAGGCCCACCTACGTTGACACATAACCTTACCTACTACACCCAGGGTGTCAGGAGGTCCCAGCCCCAAGCTGCCACTGCTTGACAGATGCTAAGTCTGCACAGATCAATGGCCAGCAAAGGCCCCATCCCCACTGCCCGCTCAGCCACTGCCTTCTCAGGCTGAGCTCAGCCTGAGCCTGCATCCAAGAGAGCGCCGCTGACCGCTGGCCCACTCCCAGCACCCCCCCTAGGTGACCACCTGGAGAGGCCTCAGGTGACAGCCTGAGAGCTGGCCATGTGCAGGGGCTGCCTAGGGTGGGTGAGCTTAGGCTGTGGTCTGCAGACCTCACCCTCCCCTCAGGCCACAGGACAGGAGGGCGGGCCTCCCGGGGCGAATCAGGGGGGACCCGGATGGCCCTTCATCGGGACCTGCCTCTGTGCTGGGTGCTCAGGCCCACAGCATCTGCCTGGACGCTGGTGCAGGCCCGCTCCCCAAGGGCCCAACTGGCTGCTCCTGGAGACGCCCCACCGCCAAGCCCTTTCCATCTTTTGTCCTTCCTCCTGCTATTTTGGTGCTGTTCCCAAAGGGAGACCCACGGCCTCAGTCTTCCCAGCAGCCCAGGCTCACGGGGCTGTCCCAGAGGGAGCAGGGGGCAGGGCAGGAAGTGGCTGGGGGGAGCAGGGGCATCTGGCGGGTCCACTGTGCTCACCATCACCACGTGCGCCCACTGCGTCTCCCTGACCTCAATTACCCGTGCTCTCTCACCGTGTGTGCCTGCGTGGCCCTTACCACCACCCTGACCTCAGTTACCCGTGCTCTCT